GCCGGGCTCTACTGCTAGTATCTTATAATTTTCAATACATACGATTTTTTATTTTGTTTCAAACTTATTAATTAACAGAATATTTTCTAATAATGTGTTCACTATAATTTATCCATTTTACCAAATCTTAATTTATATAGATTTTTAAAGTTTTACTTTACAAACACTACAACCTAACCTTTTTTGATAGCTGCATGAAAATAATTCAAGAGAAATTTCACAAGTTAGACTCAGAAATAATAGACTAACAGCAAAAAAATCCAGATACCATGTCAAATGCATAGTTGGTGAGTCTTCAAAGTACATTCAGCCAGAAGAAATACCAAGAGTCCTAGTTATTATTGAATTTGAGGTAATCTTGTGATGTAAATAAATTTTCTCTCATGCAGTAATATTCTGATCCAAATTTAAGAAAGGAGAAAAGAGAAAGAACACTGTAATATTGGTTATAGAAAGAGGAAATAGTTATGAAAAGCTTTTATAACATTGGAAAGGTGAATATGATTCCATCAAAAGATTGTTAACCGTTTCCAACAAAGTATGAATTCTATTATTATCTTTTCGTTTGAAAATTGAAAAATAAAAATGGCCATTGTAGTGCCATTTTTTGTAAATAAAAAAAAAAAAAAAAGGGTTCAAAATATATATATATATATATATACATACACCTAACAAATATGAATGGTTATTTCCGAGATAAATGAGAATGAACTATTACTTTTTTATTATATTCTTTATTTAATTAAGAAAAAGAAAAAAAAGGAAAATATTTTTGAGATAAAGAAAAAAAAATGGTAAATTTTCAATTTAATTTTCTCTTTAAGCTTGAATAAACTACAGATTCGATGAAGTCAATAATTTTTTCCTACAAAAACATTTTTCTGATGCAGTTTGCCCTGTTCTTTATGAAAAGGGTCTTTTCCTTTGGGACTGTTCGCTTTCGTGATGAAATTCTGATATTCATCATTCTTTCCTTAAGGAGAGAATGATGAATACAAAATCATTCCTTTGCAGTATTACAGATTTTAAAACAAGTAAAAGATTAACTAATTTTCTTTCTTTAATCATTGATTTGTTTTGGCATTTTTTTTTTTGAGAGTTAACGTTATTACACTTTATTTTTTAAATATAGTGCAAAGTATTAATCAAATTTGAATCATTTAGTCTTAACAATTGTCATATAGGAATAAAGTGTTGCTGCCAACACTTGGGTTTGAACACGGATCATCAGAGAGCAAACACAGTTGACCTCATCTTGAAATTAGAGCATGTGACAGGTAAAGGAAAAAAAATATATATAGGAATTAGCAGTGTCTGACCCAGTATTGTTCAAAGGTGTTCAGTAAAAGGATGAGCCCAAAATGCGATTTACAGGTCGAAAACACTAGAATCAAGCTGACATGGAAGTTTAAATATCTGGGAAGTGTTCCGACATAGGATGGTAAATGCAACAAGGATGCATTCCAAAAGCTGGGCAGAGTATTGAGAGACAGGAGGATTTCTTTGGTAATGAAGACTAAGGAGATTTACGTGACATCTGTCCTTCTTTACGGCAGCAAATGTTGACTGATTTCCTCAAAGATGAAGAAGAGACTCAAGGCGACGGAGATGTGGTTCTACAGAAGGATGTTAAGGATATCATGGATGAGAGGATGCAAACAAGGAGGAGGCTTATACTTAGCATCAGGAAGAGGCAGCTGGGACACATAATGAGGAAGGAGGGCCTGGAGAATCTGATACTCATTGGTTGAATAGAGGGAAAGAGAGACAAGAGAACACATGACATATCTAGCAGCCTTAAGCAAGTGGATGACAAAACGTGATCTGGGGGTGGCAGAGGGAAGGAACTTGTTGAAAGCTGCAAGGGATAGAGTGAGGTAGAGAGCCATGATCGCTTGCATCCTGAAAGGACACGGCACATAGAAAGAAGAAAAGAACAAAAATGCTTCTGGCTCCAGAAGTTCAAACTAAAAAAGAGATAAAAAAAAAAAAAAAAAAAAAACGACCATAGCTAAACTGCAGTGTCCCTCCACAATTTTGTCGTATGTACTATTATGACCTTTTTTGTTTCCATAAAACTTCGTCGTCGTTCACATGTTCAGTCCGTGGTATTCTCAGCATCCTTTTGTAGAACAACAGTTCTTCTATTCACCACAACAATTTTGCAGAGCAGGATTATTAACTTACAGGGAAAAAATTAATACTTAGCAAGCCAACCATTATTTAAAAAAATGAAATTTAAAAAAATAATTTAACAAAAATGAAATAATGAATTTCATTTTAAAATAAAAGATATAATTTGAAAGTTTGTGGCATTTTTCAGGATAAAAAGGCCTTTTGATTTAAGATTTGATCTTCTAGCTCAGGCCACACAAACCTCAGCCGCAGGAATTCTCAAACGATCGCCAGTTGTTTTTAGGCAAACCAAACTAACTCGGTGCGAAAGACAAATGAAAATGAAAAAAAAAAAAAAAAAAAGAGAATAATAGTTCATTTTTATCTGTCCTGAAGACCAATAGAGTTCAGCAGCTGAAATGTTATAAAAAAAAAAAATTCGGCGAAGTCTAAAAAAAAAAAAAAAAGCAGTCTTTACATTTAAACACCCACTATTCCCAGAAATATAGCTATTCGGGAAATTTTTTATTCGAAACTTAGCGCGGGGCTTAAAAAACAAATTACCCGATTATTATTTAGTTTAAAAAATAAATGATATTTTAAAAGTCATAAAATTAAGATAAAATTAAATTAATTTTATTTTTGGGGTTACAATTTTTTTTTTTTTCGAACTGGCGATTTTTTTTTAACAGAGCCCAGAAAACGCTTCACAACTTGTGATCGGATAAAAAATGTTTATCACATACTAAAAAAGATAATCATTTAAAATTTTTAAGTGTGTGTATCTTTTTAGAACACGAGAAAATATTTTTTAATTTCAATTTTTATTTAATTTTCTTTTCTGATCAACAGTATTTCGATTTAAAACAACATCGGAACAATAATACTGAATTTCGTTCCCCACTTTCCTTTGAATTGGCATTTTATGAAAAAGTTTTTCCGGGATTTTGCGAAGCTTAATGACAGAATTAAATAAAACTTTCATAAAATATTTAAAAGTAAAATTATTTTTGTTAACGATTTTTTTAACATTTTAAATCTTTCTAAAGTACTTTCGGTCGATAAATGATGTCAAAATGACACTTCTTTTTTGTCATTTCTGTAGTTATTTAGGTTGTAAAGCATGATAGCACTGAGATTATCATTGATTCACTTCAACGACCCCAACATTGAATTGAATTAAGTAAGCAGACAAAAGAAAGACGAAGATATTTTTTTTAATTTTTTTTTAAATTCCGCATAAAATAACGATACTCAATATTCTTTCTTTACTAACAAAATTTGACAAGATTAATTCAATTTTTGTTAATTTCTATTTAAAAAAAAAAACAAAAAACAAAAAAAAACAAACATTAACTTTTTTTCCTTAAGATACCAACAAAAAAAAGCTATGGAATAATAAAAATCCTTACTTGTCAGAAAGAAAGAAAGAAAGAAACAAACAAACAAACAAAAAATACAGTATTCACATTCAAGGATCAGAAAAACATCAACGTTTAAATTACAGAAACCCAAATTTACTTCAAAAAGGTAAACTAAACAGAAACTGATTTTTTTTTAATTAAAAGTAGAAAAGTGCAGTATCAAAAAAGAACTCTTCTTAGGCGAGATAAATCAAAGATTACTGTTTTTAGTCAGTTCCATTTTGTTCAGTACTGAAATAATTTTAAAAGGAACAAACTTCAATTAATGGAAGAATAGAAGCATAAATAGAGTTGAAGTTTTCTATCAACTTTTAGAAAAGAGGAGAATTGAAAATTTAAGTTTGAATGTTCGACTTTTTTGTTGATACGAAAATACAAAACGTCTGCTGGAGATTGGCGGTTACGGGTGTCCAAAAAAGCCGTAAATGAAACCGAATTACTTCATAAAGTCGAATATCTCATTCTCTAAACTCTAAATTAAAAGTGAAAATTAGATTAATTTTTAAGAAATGATAGAAAGAAAAAAAAATACAAAAAAGTAATTTTTGGAATGACTCAAAAAGTAAATATAAGGGGACGTAATGTTAAATATTATGACGCAAGTTTAATACGAGTGAGCATCCATAAGCAAAAAATGTCACTCAACATTTGTTAGGTTTCAGATTGTTGTTGCGGCTTCAAAATAAAACCCAAACCAAGATAAAGGGTTTTATGGGCATAAGTAAATAAGGGATACATACAGTGGACATTCAACTCATAAATATTTTAATCCTTTTTTTTTTTTTTTTTAGAATATGTACAATTTAGAAGCATTAATTTAAGAAAGTCTTTCATTTTTTCATCATAGTTACGCACCAGAAAAAAGTTAAAGATCCTAACTAAAATTAAAAATAACTGATAAAATGTTTTGAGGAGTGTGAAATATTGCTGACAGTGAATAATATTGATTGAGTAAAAAAAATGAATAAAAGAATTACTATTGATTGAGTATTGACATTTCGAGCATGATTGTTAGTTAGTCATTAAAAATTACTTTATTTATGATCTTGTTTAGTAGTAAAATAATTCATTCATAGGTCATCTTGCAATTTGACAAAGACAATTAAATTAATTAAAAGGAAACATTTTCTTTAAAATTTAAATTAAAAAACGAACAGGACTCACATCACACACACTCATTCAAAGTAAAATTTATATTCGGTCAGGAAAAATATATTAAAAAATGGATTACAGAAACTCATTATGAACAAAAAAAAACTTGTTATTACTGACAAAATAAACAGGTCTATGCTGTTAATTGCATAGCATTAAAAAAAAAAAAAAACTTTTGTTTATTTGTAAAAATATGTTCCAAGTAACTTAGTAACATAATGTTGTAAATGACATTGAAATGTAATTTATAGTTGATCGAATAAATAGAGAATAAAATATATTTGAGTATCACTCACAAAAGTAAAACCATCAAGTAAGTAAAAAATATAATCCAATTCCAAAAGAAGCTGTCGTGAAGCAAGAGAGAGTATAAATTGGTCTTACCTGGGGTTCGATCCCGGCATCGATGTGTTCGCATAATAAAGCGAAGGCAACTTGTAACCGGGCATGATAGCTCTGCTTGCCGTTTTGAAAATACTCCATGTTGCTAACTGAGTACGTCCTTAGCTCCCTGAACAGGGAGGTTAAAATTCGCCTCATATTGCTATCCCCAGGATCCGATAATGGTGTAGAAGGAGAAGAAGATGGTAGAATATTTTCGTTTTCTTCTGTAAACAAAGGACGAGAAAGAGTTGAGGTGTTATGATCGTCCTTTTCGAGGAGGTTGGTGGTAGCCAACCCCAAGATATCACACGTTGTTTGGGCTTCGTCGTTGTTTGACAATCTAGAAAGACAGGTTGACGACAAAAAATCAAGTTGTTCTGGCGGCCTGTCCTCTCTGTGTGCCGCTGCTGATGCCGTGGGGGACACGGCTGTGTGACTATTTGGACTTGATGGCCGTCTCCACAACTTGACATCGTCTGCCATTGTACAGCGGATTATGAAGAAGACGCGTGTATGTGTGTGCCTCGCTTACACTTCTCCCAATATGTCTACGTGCGTGTGTATGTGTAAATGAAAAGGCTTGTGCGCATGTGTAAGTGATTTTGTGCGTGTGTTCATTTCACTCTATTTTCCTTTTTCTCTCTCTCTATTGCACTCTTTATTACTAGTTAGTAAGCTTTCTCTCAGTTTTGTTTTTTTTTTATTATTTATGAAAACGCTCTTTTCTTATTTAATAAAATAATAAATTCATACATATGATAAACAAAAAACAATAACTTCAGTTTTATGTTTAACAAAAATAAACAATTAATATTTGAAATCAAAAATGAAATTAAAAGAAAAAAATTACGTACACTATCGAGCTGTATTTTTTCTGCTTAACTTAGCTGAAATTTCTTTCAAGTTAGTAATTTTAATTTTGTAATATTTTTTGCTTAAAAATTACAAGGACGAGTCATTCAGCGGCTTGGCATGGATATTGGCATTTTTAACATTTGTTTTAATGATTTATTTTTAAATGAATTACACAAATTTATTTCTGTGATAAGTTACCAAACAATATTTTTTTTTTATTCGTTTCAATTATTTTAGAACTTAAACCGGTTTGTACAGGGTGGTCCGAAAGTTTTATCACCCCTACCTCTTTTCCAAACTGTCTCGAGCTTATGTCAGTCATAAAATTAAATTATGTGGAGGTGACAGAACTTTCGGACCACCCTGTAAATTCGAGAAAATTTACACAGCTATTTATGATTTATTTTTCTTGTCACTGTGCAATGCTCACAATAAATTGGACAGTAGTACCTTGCTTGATGCAACAACACACAATTATACACAAAGAAAAAACACGCATAAAGTAATTAATTCATACAATCATTAAACTACCACACGTGAAACACACTGGGCTTGGGCGATCATGTATCTTTCAATATATGACTGACGAGGCAGATTTTTCACGTAGCAGTTTGCCATTTCTTTCTGCGGTAGACCGGCTGCCAACCAAGACTAAATAACCCAGCCTATCCTGCTATTTTTAACCCATAGCGGGGGGAGAAGAGATGGATTCATACCTTTCCCAAGACTAAATTGTGCGTAAATGAAAATAAAGAAATCAACTCTAATACGTTTTTTAAAATACGTTGAAAATTGGCAGCGTTCAGGGCTCAAGGATAAAAGCGCTTTGTCCTAGAACAAAAATATATTCAGAATTTAATAATGATTAAATGTGTATGTGTGTATGAGAGAAAGGACAGGACATAGAAATCAACACTTCATGTTGACTGTCAGTTTCTTCACCCATCGAGCCATTGCTCAATGCTTGCTTGAAACTGATTGTCACGTCACCATTCACTGAATCAATGTTGATTTATATTTCTATCTACAAACGCTCTTTCCAATATAAAGCATTCTCCTTCTCACATTGAAACAGCAAATTTAAACAGCAATTAATTAATAAACGAGGGGTGCTGAAAAAGTGAAGTTTTCGATCCGACCCACTTCCTAAAGTCAGTAAAATTTAAAATACTGACCGAAAACATAAGACCTCACTTGCCTTATCTCCTCTTGTGTGTTGGTGTTGGGTGATATTAAAAACCCAAATTTAAATGAAAAATTAAATTCTCAATCAAATTCAAGTTTTACCCGTGTACGATCTTACATTGGTAAATTTTCATTTTAACACCCGAGCGCTAATATCTCTTCAAATTTTCCCAAAATAGTCTTATTTCCGTGCAAATGTATATGCTGAACTCAGATCAACAATTAGATATTGAAGAAACCTACCTTTTTGGATGTTAACGACACGAAAAAAATCGGACTTTTTCCTGGTCTTTCGTCAGCTATTACCGACTTATTGACAAGTAATCTAGTGCTGATTTTTGTTGGTGGACGTATACAATTTGGGCCTATTTACTTCCTTCACAGTAATTCCTTGTAGTTAACTTTCAAATTAGAGTTAGGTGTTGTTGTTTTTTTTTGTTATGCTTATTTTTTTTTTTTTTTTTAAGAAGAAAGTTAACTTTCAAATTAGAGTTAGGGTTTTTTTTTTTTTTTTTGGTTATTCTTTTATTTTTAAGAAGAAAGTTAACTTTAGGGTTAGGTTTTTTTTTTCTTTTGATATTCTTTTATTTGTCGATGTTTACAATATATTTGAAAGTTAACTTTCTTCTTAAATTAAGTACCAAAAAAATCGCTTTACGGAAGCGCGTACTAATTTCTGAAAGAAAATAGTTCAGCAGTAAATTACGCTCGGGTGTTAAAATGAAGATTTACCCTTAAATTATAAATAAATACACAAGAAGACTAAAACTGCCGATTTTGTTCTCGGCTTCTTCATAGGAAACTAACAACAAAACTACTCAAAGAAGCAGACGATCTTAAAATTATTGGATAACAACCAAAATACAATGTTCACAGATAAATCTTTTTCTTATAAATAAAAAATTACATATTGTTCCATATGCTAAGTTAAGTAGTAACGAAAAGTAATGATGAACAAAAAATAAAACGGATTTACTTACATGAATAATGTCAGTCTAAATGTATCATTCTACAAGCAGACAACTTAAAAACATCTTTTCTTTTTTGAACTTTTTCTTTACAATAAACAAATCTTGTTATAAAATCTATTAACAATTTCTTCAAATTCTATTATCTTCTTTCTTTCTTCAAACACTTTTCTTTTTCTTCTTTTTTCAAATTCATTTCTTTTTCTTCTTAAACTCTTTTTCACTTTCTGATGAGCTGAAAGCGTAAAAATAAAAAAACACAAAGCATTACCCAGTCTAGGATCTTAAAATCTTATTCCATGAACAATATCCTTTAAAATATTTTTAAATCTTATTTTAAAGTAAAGAATGTGAATAGGGGCAGAATTCCCCGCATTGAACGACTCTGCCAAATAAAAAAAAGAAACGTTGACTCTCCGAGTCAACAAACAAAAATCAAATGCAATAATTCCCCTTCTAGGGAATTAAATTACTTCTTTTAGCTTTGGAATTCTACCGAAGCTAATAAAATTTTCTCATCAAAGTATCACAGAAACTAAACATCTCAGCTACGGAATTATACCGAAGCTAATAAAACTTTCTCACAAAGTCCTTCGATGCGAAAACTCATCTTCCCCTCTTTCCATCCATAAATAAAACCAGTATAGCTATTAATAAAAGCTTAATCAATAACTCTTTTATAAAAGGTAAATAATTCGATATTGTAAGTCGAATTATTAAAAGTAACACTTTATTTTACGTGGTAAACTTAATTACATAGTTAACCACGGAGCCAGAATAAAAAACGTCTTAAACAACCGAGGATAAATATCTGACTGAGGATGAAATCCTCTGAAAAAGGAGTCGTCTGCAGCTTCCAATTCCATGAAAAAGAGCGGCAACAAAAATTATCGTCTGTTTTGCCATCAGACGCGTATTATACAAAATATCAATACATCAATATTTTACCACTGAAGTTATTGAAAAGATTTCTTCCCACTTTATTAATATTCTAAATTTCTGTAAAAAAAATTTTCCAAACTCTCCCTCTTGACGCAATAATATGGTTAAGAAGGGAAAAAGAGGTATTCCAAAGTAAACTACGTATTGCAAATTGAATAAAGTACTAAAAAAAGTGCAAACTAATAAATTTTATTTTAGTATTAGTCCTCTGTTGGAAATTATTTTTGAAATTTATTATTTTTGAAAATCAATTCATAACTGTTTTCTTTCAGATCATTTGGTAGTTAAAAAAAAAAAAAAAATCCTGTCTTATTCCACAAGCTGTGAGGACGCAACCGAGTTTGTTAGTTACTTGTCAATTTATGCATTGTAAAATAAAATGTAAATTGTTTAAGGGAAAAATTTGCTCCTAATTTTATGAAAGAAAACTGTTTCCCAAAGAACTTGAATTAAGGAAGAATTGGGGACAAAAAAAAAAAAAAAAAAAGAAAAAAAGGCTAATGAAGCTAAAGATTAGCGAGTAAACAGAAACTGCAAATATTTCAACAGCTTAGTTAACCGGGAATAACCTAATTAATTTGTCCATGATCACAAAAACAAACCCTAGAAAAATCCAGTTTTTCGGAAGGTTTTCAGAATGCTTTTGTTATTCAATCTTGATAAGAAAACGGAAAAGTGTGTAAAAAAAAAAAAAAAAAACAACAAAAATTACTTACATAACATTCAACAATCAACACGCATGTATAATTCAAGAAAGTAACTTTGTTACTTTAAGTTAGTTTCATAATTTTTTTGAGTTATTTTTATTACCTGATCATGTCGGAGATTTTTTTTTAAGTACCTTAAGTTACTGGTGATGCAAAAAAAAATGTAATTTTTTTTTTTTTATTAGCTTTTAATTTAAAAATTAAAAGCCAATAAAAAAAAAGAAAACGTTTTGAATGTCACTGGTGTCGTAATATTTCTTAGCCTCGGCTAAACAGAAACTGCTTTCAAGTTTCTATGCGTAATATAAACAAGTGATTTTTTTTTTAATAAAAAAAGCAGTAAGCTAACTGGATGGAAAAAACGAAAGCAACCGATCTCAAAAAAAAAAAAAAAAAATGGGGTTGCACTTAGGCGTTCCAAAAAAAAAAAAAAACTACTGAGAGAAGTGGGACAATTTCTGGCACCACCTACGTATATGAGCCGTTGTGACTCTGTTCCAAGCAAAAAGTGTATCTGTGTCTACTCTTGCACCTTTTAGCGGTCGAACCTAAACAACAGCTTTATTTTTACTCACTGTGAAGTGTGAACATATTTCTTTTTATTTACAAATCTAAACGTACGTTTTAAAACTGTTACTTTGGCTAATTATTGTTTTGTTACTTTGTACCGCCGACTCCCCTACCCTGTTTTTGGGGCAAAAATGTTTTAGTTTTCATCTGGGATTGGTTTGTCAATCCCATTTAATATGAATTTTCTTCACATTTACAATTTTTTGTTTAAAATTTTATTTACATTTTTAGAATTTTGCTTGTAGTGTATTCCGGG